CCTGTAAACTCCTGTAAAGCTGCAAACGTGCTCGAGTGAGCCACTTTGGTCACAGGGATTGGCAGTCTTCACAAGGTGGCCTGCGCAGGTTTCGCTGAGTACTCATGTTGCCCCCACCAAGCCGATCTGCGCCCTAGTCATCTACGACCCGTGGCAGTACTGATTTAAACCGAACGACTTGATTTGAAAGGCGATTTATTAGACAAATAACAAGTGAGAAAGGTGAGAGTATGGCATTTTAGTGCGATAAAGGAGACGGACGTTACTACACGTTTCGAAGTGGAAATGCGACAAACAACAACGGCGACCGGCGGCGACGATGAAGACGACGACGATGGCGACGAGGAGGTTCTAGCGCCTAGTTCTTGGCCAACAACGTCTCGGCCATCTTCTGGAACTTCTCGTCTGAAAATGGACTCGTATTAAGGTCGAAGTCTAACGGATCCACTTTACTATCAAAAACTTACTCTTGAAGACGGAGGTCAGGATAGGGAAGTGCTTCTGGAGATCTTCCTTGGCGGCGTCAGACAGAGCCTTGTACTTGTCAATGGCCTTCTGGGCTTTCTCCTTCAGTTCAGCGAGATTGGGCTTGTTACCAGCAACAACGGCAGCTTGGATCTTGCGAGCGCCAGCGATGATCTGAAGAAAAGCTATGTGGGTAAAACTAGTATACTGGGGTACAAGAAGTGACTTACCTCCTTGGCGAAAGCCTTGGCTTCGTCATTGAGCGCGTCGATCTTTCCCTTGACCATTTCGTGGAGTTTTTCGGCTTTAGCACCAAGTTCGGGTGATTTTTCCTTCAGGGCGGCGAGGGCCTAGATTGCATCACTTTGGAGATAACTCCCAGAGCTCCCAAACGGTCCCTTCCTCACCTCATCTTCGTTCTTGTACTTGGAATAGTCCTTGGCGATTTCCTTAAGGACAGCCTTGTCGGAATCGGTGAGGCCGCTGAGGAAATCCTTGGCCTCCTTGGGGATAAGCTCTTAAAACACTCATTCAATAACTGATAAGGAAGCAGATACAGTAAAACCTAGACGAGTAAGTAACCTCTGTACTCAGCAGGAATATCCTCCAGGCTGGTGAAAGGAGCAGCGGAAGCAATACAGAAGAAGACGGCCAAGGCGGTGATTTGACGGATCATCACTGAAAGTAAAATAGTAAAATTCAAGACGATCTGAAGGACATTACGCTAGCGGAGAATGAAGGCCGAGGGAAGAATGCGGGGGAACTCGTTAGGAAAAAGCTGAAGAGGGCAGCTGAACTCAACAGATCGCAACTGGTTGGAGCAATAAGTGCGAGATGACAGCCACCACCGGCTTTTAACCCATCACCCGAGGGGCTGACCCATGAAGCATTAGACTGGTAGAGGGCTACAGACACTACTCATCGACATGAGGTCAGAGAGAGGGACAGCTGAATGTGGGGCGGAGCCGACGAGTGATGACAAAGAGCCGTTACAGCCGGCTGGCTAGACGTTGGTAGAACTGGACAAAGCCCTTGGTTGGGCAGCATCTCTAATAGCCGAGTATCTCTAACAGTACCTCAGCCACGGTAAGGCCCACAAAGGTACTGTCAAAACGCATCTTGAGCCCCTTGACGGCCCAAGGGGCCAAAAAGGTGATGGTTAAGGGAAAAGGAGGGAAGAGGTGGACAAGCAAAGAACTTAGCGACTGGCCGTACTTGCTCATCAACAGTAAAAACGACATTAAATACAAGAGTCTGTGAAACACCCTTGTAGGATTACTGCAGTTCGGCCTGGTGGGGCAATTGGTGGTTCCCATCGATTACTGGCGATGCCTCCCTTGGAGACCTGCGTATTCCTGTGAAGCTATGCAATAGCAGGAGACTTGCCTACATTTGACAAGTGTGTACAAGTCTTCCCTAGGTGAGACGTGTAATTTAACAAGAAATAACAAAGGGAATTAGCAAATGTGCAAAATGCCCTTCCTAAGCCGAACAGCGCCTCGGCTATGAAAGTAAAAACATTCCAGTGAAGTTGCTAAGCCCCGAATTCAAAGGCAAGTGGCACGATAAATGCCTAAGGTGTGTAGGATAAATATGCCTAGCAGACAGGATTCGGTGCCCCAGAGGAAAAAGTGGAAGAAAAGTGGGGAGTGAAAGAAAAATGAAAGGTGCAGAATGCCCTCCAAGTCGTGCAGCGCCTCACTATTGTAATATGCAATACTGCCCAATACGGAAAACTTACGGACTTCAAAGGCTCAAACATGGGTCAGAGTTTGAAAAGTATCCACTGCCACCTCCTTCATGGCGGAAATACACCAACAGGAACACTGAGAGGAACATACGGGGGTTCACGCCGGCGGTACCGTGAATCTATGTTTAAAACATTATTAAAATTTCACGCTCATTCTGCGTAGTTCCGAGATGCAGAATTCAGGAGACTCGTTAAATTTGAATTCCGCGTACGTTACTGTCACGTCATTGGATGGAATCGTGCGCCTCTGAGGTCACGAAAGCCATCGGGAGGAGTGTCAGCGTAGTTCGGCTTGGGAGGGGAGACACTTTGCAATTCCGCTACCTCCCGGCGACGGTTGAGCCATCAAGTGGAGACCAGTGAAATGTTGTGAAGCCATGAAGCGATACCGGTCAAAGTCCAGAGAGACTGCTTGTCAGTTTCTATGAAGAACACCTGTTGATTCTGTAAAGCAAAGAACACGACAATGGGAAGCATTGGAAGGGCCAAATCCCCCCTCTTCCCCAAGCGAATCATGCCTAGGCGTCTGATGGAACAGTGGGCACCTCAGGAGCCTCGAGCCAAGCTGGGCCTATGACTAGGGCTCCGATTCCAAACGGTCAAGACCTTGGCGCAAGAATAGTATGTCTAACAGCCATGACGTATCATCATCATCATCAACATCATCAACAACAACAACAACAGCGTTTTTGCAGAAATTATGGAACAAGAGACCCAGAGGCTACTCTAACAAGATCCAGCTACTGGGCGAGAGCCATCTGCTTTGGGGTTCACTAATGACTTGAAGTGCTTTGCTAAGCTCGCAGCTCTCGGAAGATAAGGGTTTCGGCGTTAATAAATCCAGTTTGGAATGCGTCATGCATTTTACTTCCATTCATAATCGAAGTGCCATCTTGTATGCAATTTGGTCCATTTGGTAGATTTGCAGGGGCCTCTCGGTGAACCATGCCTCCTTCTCCGCTGAGCCCCGCGCCGTTGGTCTGCCGTTGGTCTGCTGTTCTTGTTAGACGTCGGCACTTCTCCCGGCGCAGTTCGGCGACGGGGGAGGGGAGGGGGGGGGGCATTTTGTTTCTCATTGATGTGTCGACCCATCTAGATAGCCTTTCCTTTAGTTTACAGATTTTACCATGGTGGCTAGACTTCACAAGAGTTCACAAGTTTCACTAGAGTGAGACTTGTAAACCGGCAGTGGCGAAGCAGTGAAACTG